CAGATTTATTAAATTTATTAAAATATATATTAGTATTATCATTTTAAACCAAATTGTTTTTATAAAAAAAAAAAAAAATTTTTTTAAGTTTTTGCTAAATTTGGGTCGGCGGGTAATGTTAAACGAAAAATTTTTTTTGCATGGCCTTAATTAACCATTGGAAGATAACAATAAGAAATAATTTATTTTGCTATGTCAGCATCAACTAGTCAAAATGAAGACACTAATATCGAAGACAAAATTGGAGAGAAATCTGAAAACAAAGACAAAGAGTGCATTACAAAATATTTTGCAATCAGTCCGGAAGGAGACTTTGTTGTTGAATTTGAAGTAAAAGGAGGTAAATGTTTTTTCGAAATAACTTTAATTATCTGGCAAACTCTTATGATCATGAATTGCCATCTGTCTTGTTATTTTTTCATGTGTTACGATCAGTGTTGGCTTGACCAGACCAGTTTGACCATTGGACCAGACCAATTTGACCAATTTGACCAGTCTGGTCAAAAGATCTGTACTGGTCAAATTGGTCAAATAGAATATTTAAATATGATTTATTATACTGTATAATACAATATATAAATTATATTTATATAATAGACTTGACCAATTGGACCAGTTTGACCAATTGACCAATTTGACCAGCAAATTTTTGGTCGACCACTAATTTGCCCAACACTGGTTACGATGTAATCATGTTAAAACTCAGTCGATGACTCTTGGCTCAACCGGGCAAATGATTGGTTCACGTGCCGCTTCGCGGCACGTGTTCATTTGCCCCGGTTTTGCCAAATTACCGTTATTCGACAAATTTTGCCCAATATTGTATACTTAAATGATTTGTATTATAAACTTTTAAAATTCTTCATTTAATTTAGAATTCAAATTACAAGTATATCTTATTGAATCAGATGGTGATTTAATTACAGAAAATGACAAAAAATTGCCACACAAGAAGCTTACTCCTATTCCTACCAAATTTGAATCTGCTGGTAAACCACCGCTAAACTCATTTAAAAATTTTAAAAAGGCTAGGTGGTCTATTGCAGTGTCAGACAAATTAACTAACACATCGGAGAGATTATTAGCAATATCTTGTAGCGGCTTTAGGGACATGGTGCGTTATAACGACGGCTCTAGCACCGTGATGCCGAAAGAAATTCCTAAAAATGGACACACCTCAGAATTTATTATTAACCAAATTAACGATAATTATTCAGTTAGTTTTATTGATTATACGATTAAAGATGGTGGAATAGTCAAATTATTCCCTAAACAAGACCATATAATTAATCAAATGACCGAAAAAGATAAACAAACAATAAAAGAAAGCAGTAAAAATGTTGATGAACACTTTTTGATTCTCTTAAAAATTTCAGGGATCTACAAGTATCATATCGATATGAATAAATCTATTAGTAACATACAAAAATTAAAATATCCAAGAAGACTATACAAAGTCATGATTAATAATATACTTTTTTTTGAGCGTTCATATAACCTTTTTGTTGAGCGTGCATATAACTTTACATACGAATATATTAAACTCTGCTTAAATAGGCATTATTTTTTGGTTGATACTATGGACATTAACTACATAGAACTTTATGATTTAAGGACAAACCAATTAGTAAATACTTTTCAAAGACAAATTTTAATAAAATCGATCTTGGTTGATATTCCTACTTCATATGCAATATCAAAAAATAGCAAATTATTAGCATATGTATCCTCATCCATTAAAGGGATCATAAAATATTCGATTGAATGTAGTCTTAAAATAGCAGAGCTTGCAAATATTGTAGATCTAAAAAGATATGATGATCAAATATTTATTAATTTTTTTTACAATGACGAGATATTATTTATATATTATTTAAAAGATGAATGGACAGTCTGGAATATTTTCGGTTCATTACGAGATTCTGTTAAATTAAAGAATCCAAGATTTATTTTGGAACTTCCACAAGAGGAACAAGGTGATATTTATGACTTTTATAAAGTAGAAAAATCAAATTCATTCATATTTGTTAATGAAGCCATATTTGTTAATGAGGGTAACAATCTGGCTATTTATGATAATTTGATCATAGAAACGTATTTGAAACTTTTAACAAAAAATGAACAAGATTGGAATCAACCAAAAGAATTTTGGTGGTTTAAACATGATAATAAGATCCGAAATCTTCGCGATGAAGAATCAGAATTAGATGAATATTATCATATGCTTGAACCCTGGTGGCCACAAAGAATGTCGTCATTGTTGTCAAAAGATTTGGGACGTTCGCAATATTCGTTCGTTCTTGATGAAAAAAAAGAAAAATTGCTATTAATTGGAAACCATTCAATTCAAGTTTGGTATGATCAAATAAAAGATCTCTTGAATTCATTTGTGTGCCTTTATCTTATTCGCGCTCCTTTCACGCGCACGATAGTTTTGTGTTGGACTTAGAAAAATGGGGACATAAAATAATACAAGTAAAAGACATTAAGTATTGTGCCGAGAAGTTCAAGCTTAGCATTTTGATTGGAGATGGGACGGAATATGAAATTAAAATGGAAAATGAAAATGATATATTATGAATATAGTAAAATATGCATGTTACGCACTTAAATATTTTTCTGCTTTTAAAAAGTTTGAACAGTTTCTTTATGAGGATCAAAAATTAAAATTCAATATCATCATAAAACAAACACGAAAGATAATATTAAGGTTTATTAGATTGCATTCAACTGCTTGGCGGCTGTTAGATTTTCGCTTTGGTTTAATGAATATTCTTATTGAAACGGGGGATTATGAGCTTGTAAATGACATTTTATCTTTTGGAAAATCGATTCATATACCTCAAAATTTTTCTTGGTCAGGTGAAAACAATACTATTCGTACTGCATTTTCAGGTTTGTATACTTAACATTGTGCTGAATACATATAAATATCAATACATTCTAAATATTCTAAATATTAACACTTTACCTGCTTGAAGATCATATTATGTTGGCACTTTTTTTAGAATATTATTCTAATAACGCACTTGAAAATATTGGATGGATGAATACAGTTGTCGATATCATACCAGAATTATATGAGAGTTATGAAAAAAAGAGCGAAAAAAGAAAAGGTGATAATATTTATGAGAATGAAATAGATTTGAAATAAAGTTGCTATAAATTTGATCATATTAACACATAATTATATTTTAGGCATCAATTATATTGTAGGCGTCATACAGAAATTATTTAATAATAAAAGGAATGGAAAAGAAAAAGATGATAATATTTATGAGGATGTAATGGATTCTAAATCTGGTTTGTTATAAATTTTATTATTAACACATAATTATATAAACTTTTTATAATTTTAATCTTCATGCAAATAGAATCTTACGCATATCATGTTCAAAAATTATTTTGTAATCCTTGTTTTTGTAACAAGCCACTGGATTTATTAACTTTCGAATTTCTTAAAATTTCTCCATCAAAGTTAAATGATTTATTAAAAGTTTTTATACCTATAACACAGTTGATTCCACATGATTCCGAGTTGGATTTACAAGAAATCGAGTATGAAAATAATAGTTTACATTAAAATCTGTTGTTATTTTACTGTAGATTAATTCAATTTAAATTTAAATTTGCTACAGTTATGATAAAATTGATAATATTCGAATGGTTCCTTTAACAGATTTCACAACAACGAGAGGATCATTATCATATGAAAGAGAAAGCAAACTTAAACGTTTTCTAAAACTTTTAATTTTTCCTAGCCAATATATATCTTATGAGGATTTTAAAGAGGAGGATTGCAGTCCCTTTATTAGACTCATTACGGAACTCATAAAAAAGGATGAATTTGAGATTTTATGTGAAAACCCATCTATGGGAGCTGTCATGAATTGGATGTGGTGTTCTTCTAATTTCTATTGGCTTAGATCCCTGTGTTTTTTTTCCTTGTATTTTTTGACCTATTCAATTTTCTCTTGGGCATACATTTCTCATGTTCAAATAACTGGTACACTTCAACATATTATGATGGTTACGACCATTGTATTATTCTATTATTTCTCATATTATCATATTGTTGTTGAATTTAAACAATTCCGTCGTCACGAAGATTATTTTAAAGATCCCTTTAATATGGTAGATCTTTTATCAATTTTTGTAGCGATATTTGTTTTTAGTGATATTTTGATTCGATACTATACATTTGAGGACGGATTTAAAAATGCCGAAAGTAATCAATTCTTGACATTTATTATATTTTTGAGTATTTTAGTACTTTGGTGCGAGTTTGTAAGTGTATACTTATTATTCAACTCTGTATTGTTGCTAATTCTTTTTTCAATCTTTTGACTATTAATTTTATGTATTACTATCAGATTTTACTATTGCGTATATACGAAGGTACAGTATTTGCTAATAATTCTTGTTAAAGATTGTTTAAGCTTACATGTATAATTATTGTATATACGAACTTAGGTTTTGCGCAGTATCTGAATATACTTTCAAGTATTATAATTAAGTTACGACAATTTTTATTATTTTTTATTCTAAATATTATTGTAATGATGGTAATAATAATTATCTTTAGAATGATTATTTATATTAACAACAATGTTTTAAAATTTAATTACTATACTGCATTACAAGGGACATGCATTGTGAGTTTTATATTTAAATTTATCTGACTGTATCTTAAATTATAATGATTTAAAATATCAATACAATTATGTATATCTAGATTTATTCTTCTTGGCTATCCATATTATATTGGAATAAGTCAATCTCCGACAACGTATGAAATTACTAATGGAAATGCAGTTTATACTATGACCGGAGAGGTATCAGATAATCCATTTTCAAGTATTATTGGTGCTATACTTGCAGTATATGATTGGTCATCAATTTCATTAGATACATGGAATTTTTGGCCACTTACTATAATTAGTGTAATTGGCAGTTTTTTTTTTGTGATGATAATGCAAAATTTAATAATTTCATTCATGAGGTATGTTTTTGATCGTACAATTTATTATTATGATTTTTCACTAACCTCTGATTCTTTTAAAAAAAAGCGACGCTTTTTCTGATGCATCCAAAGATAGTAAACGTTTTGTATACGGTTTTCAAGTTGACTTGATTCGTGATTTTGCTCTTCTTAAAAGGTCATTAGAATTTAATTACTTAGATTCCAAATTTAAGGATAAACTAAGAGCAAAATATATCTGCTTTTATGATGATCCATCTATTACGAAGTCATGGAATAAAAAATCAGAAAAAATGAAAATCAAACCATACCCTAAAATGCCGAAGTTGCGTAAGAGAGAATTTAAATCTTGGACAGTTGAAAAGTGTGAGTTTATTTGGAAAAAAGAGGAAAAAGATAAAGTGGCCTTAAAGTTAACTGAAGAAGAAATCGAAGAAAGTAAAGATCAAGAGTATCGGAACTTTGAAGATTTAGAAATACAGAAAGATACGGAATCATTTCCATACTCTCTTATTAACCAGTAGTACTGATATAACTCCAAATTTCGTAATCACATGCATCTACTTTTTGATACACACGTACATGCAGACCCTAAAATCCTATATTTTTTCAATACTTGTATTACATGTAACTACTAAGCAGAACACTAAGCTTTTAAATACTTTTTCAAATGAAGATTAAAATGCGCATATGTTTATAGATAATAAGTTTGGTTTAAACTGATATTCGTGGTATATGCCTTTTTTTTAAAAAAAAAACTTCATTTTGCGCAAATATTTTATAAAAGAATAATGCTCGTAACTATTTGTGTAATAAATATTTTAAATAAATCATTCAAATAATGTATGTTTTAAAAACTATTTACCATATTGCATAATAACGCGCATTTGCGCGTTATTTTAAGCATCTTATGAATGTACATGTGTGATCTTTTGACTTATTTTATAAGTAATAGTAGATTCAATATGATAATCAAATAGCATTGGCGTTATTTCGAGAGTAAATATATAATTGTCAAAAAAGTGGAAATTTCAAAAGTGCATTATTTCTCGCAAATCTGCACATTATAAGGTTTTTTTATCGGCATAAGTTTTTTTTAAAAAACTTTTAGTATGCTTGTATAGTATGAAATATAATTGTAAAAATTTTAGGGTACATCCAAGTTTATCAAAAAAAGTAGGCAAATGCGTATGTATTCTTCTGCAGTAACAAAAAATTCCTTGCAAAATTTTGGTAAGCTTCGTAAAAATTTAAGCAATCGCGCATATCCGTTTTGTTTTGAAATCTAATTGGTCAAAATGTCTGATCACCACTAATTTTATTAGTTTCACTTAATATTTAAAATCTTTAATATTCTTGTTAACGTGTTTCTAACAAAATTAGCACAATAAATAATTATGGTATGAAACACTATATAGTTGTACAGTATTTTAGTTGTTTATGCATGCTAATTCTCTATAAGAGAAATTACTCAATTAAACGACTATTCCCAAGTGACTATTAATGTCATATATTTCTATTTGTAATGCTCTTTCATCGCGTCTTATAAATTTCTTTGTTAAGGCATGATTAGATACCTATGGTTCCTGGAGTTCTCATCTTATAATCAGCAGTTCCTGATTTTCGAAATTTCAAGTTTAGAATCCATTTTTGATTACATTTCAAGCCTCATTATAACAGTAAACAGTATTGACTGACTATAAATCACAAAAATATTCATAACACTGTAGAGAGGCATATCACTATCACTTATTAAGTCTTTAGAAAAATATAGAGTTATTACATAGAGGCTTAAAAAAATATTTGGAAAGTCGCAAAATATTGTCTGCAGACTTGGCGTATAAGGCTGTGCATGACGAATTTAACCTCTTATGTTGGCTTTCCTAGATGAATGCTTTTAGGCTAGAAATTCTAAACATTAGTTCCTTTACTCTTATATATTTTCTGGACAATAGATAAATTCAATTGATTTTTGAATTTAATATAAAATCGAAGAATAACGTTATTGTAATAATGTCACGAGTAAACAAGATAATGTTCAAATTGATATATCAACGCCAAGGTATGAAGATAAAAAATGGAAAAGAAATTATGCCACATGGCTATAAATTTCAAATTTGATTCGTTAAATACTCAAATATATTGTAATATTAGGTGAAAAGGATGAGACCATTCTTGTATGCCAGTTAAGCATAATGAAACTCATTTAGAAGCATGTTCAAGTTATAATGCTACAGATCTTGATGAAAGTAGAAATAGTGAATATGGTGAAAGCATTTATAAATTGGGAGAATTATCAGATGACGCATTAATAGTCTTAATGAGCGAAACCTTTTGTAGTAAGTTATATTAATGTTAAATATTGTATTCTTTTGATGTATAATTCAGGATGCTTCCATTGTTTGAGCGACATCAAGAAACCTATTTATAGTTTACAATTATTATCACAAAATTTAAAATTTTTCTTTTTACTCATTATAATGTAGTTATTGTTCATGTGATATGATCATGTAAAAATTCTTTGCCTTGATATTTTTGTCATAAAATGGCATCATTTATGCAAAATGTCACGATAAAAAATTTCACATGCTAAATATAATATGAACAATAACATCAATATTGGGCATACAAAAATAACTGGGATTTTTTTTTTCATCGAAATTAATGTCACTCATGTGCTGCTATGCAACACATGGGAGTGACATTAACTCCGATGAAAAAAATTCCCTGTTATTTTCATCGTACGCCCAATATCTTATTATTATCGTGCAAACTCTTATGATCATAGATTTTTTTCTTCTTGTTATTTTTTGTAGGTTATTACGTAAGCACAACAATCTCGAATTAAAACTCAGTTAGCCAACCACGACTCGTAAATCATGATCATAATTGCACGATAACATCGATATTGGATCATGCGATGATAAATATCACAAAATTTGTTCTGTCGGAGCAAATGATTGGCTGAAACGTGTTGCTACGCGGCACATGTCAACCAATCATTCGCTCCGACAAAACAAATTTCATGATATTAATCGTTACATGACTAGTAATGTGCAAATCCCGATTTTTCCAAATTTCATGCGCATGGGAATTTTCCGGAATTGCTTATGAGTTTTCGGAATATTTCGGAATTAATTAAAATTTTCGGCTTGCATTATAGTGGCTTCTTAGCTTTAAGATATATATAAAAAATCATATACCGGTGGGTGAAAAGTCTCTAAACAGGACCCTAAACGGGACTTTTTTCTATCTCCGCTGATATTAATTCTATTTATTTTTATACCAGATTGGGAAAAGTCTCTAAATAATCCCTTTTTACTATCTCCGCCAAGATTTATACATACAATTTACGAAAATATTGCAATGATTACTAATTATAAATGTTAGAATGATGTTCTTAGTGATAAAAAAAAACAGGGCCCTGTTTAAAGACTTTTCACCTACCCGGTATATATATAATTTGCACACATCAAACATACTAAACATATACGTACGTAACTATAGTGATAACAATAATACTTACCAGTTTAATAAATTCGTGCATAGTGTAACGGATAAAATTCCTTTTTGTTGTTATTCTCTTTTATTTTATTTTATCTTTTAGATATTAATATAGTTTTTATTCTCATCATCATTATTATTATTTTATCTTTTATATATTAATATAGTTTTTATTCTCATTATTATTATTATTATTATTATTATGTATATAGTTTTTTTTTCAATCTATTTTCATAACAGTAACTGACTTCTTGTTTTGTATCATGTAAATATTTTAATCAAGTATATTAAAATGGTAGTTGATGATAGCTTGGTGGTTTATTCTATGCAAGCACGTGTATATGCTTAAAAAATCACATATACATGCTTACACAAATTTGTAAATCTCTGCACCATGAGTATATATGCTCAAAAAGGAGCATATATATTCAAAAAAGAGTGTATACACTCAAAATTGAGCATAAACACTCTAATAAAACAAAATATATTTAAGTGCTTAAAATTCAATAAAGAGTAACAGTTCATGTCTACTTTCAATTTCTAATAAAAAATAAAGTGTATATATATATCTAAATTGTCCCTTGTGTCTTGTTTTTAAATTCAACTTGTAACTTTAATAAATGCTTTTGAGACTCAATTCAGTGAACTGAATTGACTTATATCTTCAATTTGGCTTATTAAGACTTGAATTCTAGAATATTTGTAAAATCAGATATTGCTATTCATATTAGTAACTTGTGGGAATTGTGGTAGAAAATAATACTTATAACTGTTATTCAACTCTGGTAATCCATCGCAATTCTTAAGATCACTACTTAATTATTACCCTTAACAGCATTACTTGTCATTATATTACCCATTATCATCCTTATTGCTCTACTAGTTACTTAACAATTATAAAATCCTTACTTTTATATCTCCAAGTTTATATTATTTTTCATATACTATTGGAGTTAAATTGGCTTTTATTCTATAATATTTTCTTAAGCTCTTTCAATAGTTACAATAGTAATTAGATAACCTATCAACATTATACTGCTTTGCCAGTATTATAAAAAATTATGTGCATGATTCCATAATTTTATGCATATTATACACATGATTATGCATATAATCATATACATATTATACATATTGCATATCACTATGCATAACTAATATCTTATACTTAGCATGATACTAATAATAATGAAAAGTAAAGATTCAAAGTTTTTGTTTCCTTTTTTTTTTTTTTTTTTTAAAGGTGGCATCTTTTGTCTATGTTTTTTATTATATATATTATAATTACAAATTATGTGGTAACTATAGTACAACTAGTAAGATTTTAACTTAGAATATTTTATTCACACTACCTGATTTATCTAACCCTATTTCTAGTATATATCAGGATTTCTATACTATTATATTATATTTAATATATTCACTATGTACTATATAAACTATCAGATTGGTGAAATTTTTCTGCTATCATACCTAAGCACTTCCAATTTGGTATACACACCTATCCATACATAGGATTCTACTTTAGGTAATCCTCAGATCATTTCTCTAATCATTTTACCAATCTTTATACCCTTTTCAGTGATAAATTTATCATTTAAGTATATGTACAGTATATCCATTTATGTACTCCCCAAATTGGTATAAATCTAGACATTGGTATAATTCTAACTAGTAGAGCTACTTCTAATTAAGTTTTGTATAACAATATTACTTCCAACTTACAGCTGTATTGGTTGGTGTTTTAGAATTGGTGTATCTGTATTGGTCTTGTATTTTATCAGAGACTTCCAACTAGGTACAACTTATACTGGTAATATGTAAGTCTTTTATACATATACAGATATTCTGTAACATCTCTCTATACTAACCACTTCATATTAGTATAGGTTGCTAGAGGTATTCCTTATTTGATTAGGCTAATTCTTTACCACAGATCTCTTTATGTTTACCACTTTTCTCACCACTTCAGTTTGTACAATAGTTGTATTATCCTCCTAAGTCAAGATCCTAAAATACC